CGCGGAGAGGCCACCGCGCGTATTATTTGCACTGGCGGAAGGCTTACCCCTGAAATGCGTCTTTGTTACTATATGGGTAACTGTTCGGGGTCTGCTCCTAGCCTTTTTCCGATGGCCGCGTGCTCAATGGACCCCCATAAGTGATGACGTCACAACATGGCACTCCGCTCCAAATACACTGTTGTTAGGGCCGTTCTGTTAGACAAACGCATAGAGGCTCGACGTGAGGTTAGAAATTTCTTAGAAATAAGTTCTTGTAAGAACTGTCTCTTGTCAACATCAAATCTAATCGGCTCAGTACCATAAAGCGATGACGAAAGCCAGTAACAAAGTTTCACAACCGGTTTTGCCATTGTAGCAGACGAAGAAATGGCCTCGCGGGTTCAGCGGTTTTTTCTTAGGGAGTGCGCGACCCTGTCGGATGAGGTTGGTGACGATCGACGAAACTTCTATTCTCGGGGTCAACTTTCTCTGGGATTCTCGGAAGCGAAAAGCGCCCGAGCACAGCTTTTATCGACGCTCGACGTGTGCAAACGCCTTCCCTCGGAGCTTTCTTTAGCAATATTAAAAAAAAAAGGTGAAAACCCTGTGAAGCCGAATTTACCAAATCATGGACGACGACGACGGGAAGTGTATCAGGGTCGATTTGCAGGCCAGCACGCGTTTCAAAAATTTCTGACACCACAGTTGCTGCATCGCACATCTCTGTGATGAAACGAACTGTCCGTGACAGATATAAATTGTCGCAGATGGAAACGGACCCTCAAGCGTAAAACGGAAAATAAAGATTGAATCAGTGAACCCGTGCCTAGAAACGAAAGAAAGGATGAGCGTCGACGGCGGCAACACTGAGCCACGACAGGTCGGCGTGACAGCGGGCTGTGAGTTGACCAATCCGCGCTCGACACCTTATCTACTCCACTCGGCATCTGAAACATTCGACCCAGAATGTTCGTTGGTAAGCTAGGGCGAGACTGATTAGGCAAGGCCATTCTGACCTTCTTATCTTTTACACTCGGGGTACGGGTAGACTCGAATCTTCTAGAGGGACGGAGGAGCGTTCCCTGACAGTCATGCGCGCTTGGGGTCTTCAGGTTTATACAACTCAACAATCAGTAGGATTATTCTGAGTTCGGAGATTACAAGGCAAGTAGAAAAGACACTGTTCTTGGCATTTACAGTCTTTCTTCGTTTCGTATTGTTAGTAGTGATGTGACGAATTCATCAATTAATCTGCCATTTTTAAAGAAATTATTAGTGGTAAAAAATTAATATTTTTTATATCGCAAAGAGCCCGTTGGTGTAAGTTGATAATTTTATAGCTCCAGTGACTTAAATGAAATTATTTTAATATAAATAAAATGAATCCTATATAAATCAAATATCCCGAAGCTTTTTAAAATCAAATCACGATTTATTTGTTTCTGCCTTCTTTATTATCATCACCGGTATTCTGAGGGCACGCCATTTTCGCCTATAGCCTACAATACTTGTCGGCCAGTTCGATAGCGTCAAAATGCGAGGGTTTTGGGTCTAGGTACCATAACATAATCCTCACTAATTGTTGAATAGTGAGGGTGTTTGGTATTATACTCATAGCTGCACAGTAATTCTGCCTGCGTGCAGCGTGAGTGGAACAGTTTTTTCGAAGACATTGCTCACTCTACGTGGGTAAAAATCCTTCCAAATGCTTTACACTACCATATCGTGATTTGTCCAGAGTATCGGTGTCTAGCATGTAAAAGCTTTTTTTTTTTAAAGATGTATGCGCCATTTTTGTGTTTTATGTAGTATAATGTTTTAGATACGTTTCTTAATCTAGTGCGATTGAGTTCACCTTATAATTTGTAGAGTTTAACATATAAAAAATAAAATCATTCGACAAAGTTGATCAAAAAGTGCTGCTCCACAAATTATCGTCATTCACTTGTTGCTCTGAACCAGTCTGGTTTGAAAGTTATTTGTCATGTCGTACTAATCATGACTGAGTTGTCTGTGTCGTTGTCAATCTACTCTTTGTCCGTGTTTTTTTGGCGCTTATTTTCCCACGATGTACCAACTGGCCCATTTAAGCATTTTACTGAGTTTCCAGTGTCCATTCTAAACTATTTTGCGCAACTGCACGTGTCCCCCAGCGGTCTATTCTCGGGCGTCTTCTCTTTCCGATACTTGTAAACCATATAGCATCATTTGTCGAAAAAACTAAGCTCTACCTGCTTGGGGACGATATTAAGATTTTTATGCCCGTTGCTATTCCTCTTGATTGCAATGCTTATCAGCACGACGCAAATACAACGCTGCAATGGTCTTTGACGAATAAGTACCCCTGAACCCTACCAAATCTAAGGTTCTCTGTTTGAGCGGACGACACGCTGTTATGCATCTTACTTGCTCTATGGGTGGAGCACCAATCGAACCCGTGACTGCTATGAAAGATCTTGGTGTATGCCTTGGTAGCGCGTTGTCTTTAAATGATCATGTTTTCTTTTATTATTGGCGGTGCAATGGAAATTCTTTGTATTATGTGTCGTAAAACTCAAACGTTGAGACACCCTGCATGTATTATTTGTTCATTTTGTGCTTATTTCGTTCATGGCTCGAATTCGCCTTAGTGGTTTGGAGTTCTCTAACACCTACATTGTCTCTTAGCATTGAATCGGTGCAAAAGAGATTAATACGGATTGTATACGCACTTCCAGCGTCGCTTTTATTATGATTATGTATTTATTCTTCAAAATGCTTTACTTAGCTGTTTCTCGAATAAAGGATTCGAGAGCCATTTTATTTTTCTGCACAGGGTGGCAAATGGTGGTATCAATGCTAACCTACTTCTGAGCCCTGTCGATTCATGGCCCTCGTCCCGTTACCAGAAATCGTACTGTTTGTTTACGTTCAACCTATGCCTAAACTCCCGATGCAAATTTCATTTATATAAGGTTGTATCCTTTAGCTTGGACATTTTCACATGTCCCTCAGTTTATCGCCAGGACTTGGAGAGTGTCGTAGAAAGTTGAAACTGTAGCATATTTTGTGTGAAGTACGTCCACTATTTATGGCCGCGTTATTTGCTACATTTGAGGCCGCGCGTGTGTTGTTTCCTATATTTCTCTTCTATGGTGCGCCATTGTGAAGACCCGCTTGATTATTTTTGGGCACATAAAATGAACAATATTAATATTATAATAATTACTTTTAAAAATTCCTCTACCTCTTTAGTCTACATAAACTAGTGTATCATGTTTAGAACGCTGCAGCAACCCTACAAATATTTGAAATTGAACTGGCAGTATTTCTAATCAAAACGTTGGCAGCGGCCTTTATGAATACCCTGTCGTCTAATGACTGGTATGTATTATGCAAGGAGCGATCATTTAAATTTGTTTAGCATACATTAAAGGGATACTTCAACGAAATTAGAAATATTCCCGTCGTGTTCAAAAATAGGTTGAATATGATTATCAATATCTGTAAATGACAATCGCACGTTTGTATTTTGAGCCTGGTGGCTGTATTTTTTGTTATAAACGGCCAACTCTGGCAAGCGCTCGGAGAAGGCCCAGCGGAGACCACGTGACATCCAACGCAATCGTGACGTAGGTCGTCTCAGGACGAGCAAAGGTACGGCGAGGTTGACGTCGAGAGGATGGCCTAGTCGTTCCAGCCACAGAAGCGGCTGCTCTTGTACGAATTTTGAGTGACGGGTTAATCTTCTGTAATCTTGTAGGGGGACAATAGCGACTTCTGCGACACACAAAAGGCATTCTAGGGAAGAGGGGAGTTCCTTCTGCCCCTCTTCTCTCGTCGTGGCCGGAGGCGAGACAACCTCCGTCACTAGCTGTCAAGGTTCCTAGACGGGCATTACAAGCGAGGCGTTAGCGACATCTACCAGGTGCTCTTTGCTAATCGTTTAATCCGTTTTAAAATTTCTTTTCGTAACTTTTTTAAGAAGAAATTGGCATGTTCGATGTGATGCTGCTCCTTTGAACACATATAGACCAAAAAATGAGCGCCAAAATTTCGTTGTAGTATCCCTAAACGGTCGTGCGTCTGGCGAAGGCGCATTTCTTAATTTTGCGTAACCTGAGGTCGCGCGACGGAATAAGTTTACGTGAATTTACGGTGTCCATTACTGGTGTCATGTCATAACATGAGGTAACGCGACGTCAATTTCCTATTATATTTAGCGGGGAAGCGCACGGATGGACGAACAAATTCCGGGGACTACTGGCTTCTGTAAAAAAAAAGACTTCTATGCTTTCCATAAATAATAAAAATGTCACTGACCCTTTTTTCAAGTCCAGTAATGCGTGAAATGGCATACTTAGGACGTGATCGCTTAAAATATTTAGAAGAAATTGAACCTTTATTTTGGCGACTGGAGATGAACTGGTTGCATAGTTCACGTGGCATCAATTTTCCCGCTAAATTGAGCACGAAAATTACAGGTGTTTGGGACTCGCAATATTGGTTTCCTCGTAAATTTAGTGCTGAAGCTGAATTGGTGTAGAGTTCACATTACGACAATTCTCGAGCTAAATTTTGCGTAGAAACCGAATTGCTGTATAGATCGCACGGCGTCAAATTTCCTGGTAAATTCAACAGAGAAACTGAAGGTGTTTAGGTCTCCTTCGGTTTCCCCTTCAAAATTGGCTTGGAAACTGAACTGGTGGAAAGTTCACGTTAAGTTAAATTCCCCACTGAATTTATCGGGGAAAATAATTTGTGTATAGGTCACGTGTAAGGTCACGTGGCATCAATGTCCTCACGTCTTTGCTGGCGAAACGTCATTAGTGCATAGATCACATGACAATAATTGACATGACGTGATCTTAACATCAAGTTATGTTCCCCGCTAAATTTAACGGAAAATGCACGGACGAACGGAAGGAGCAAGGGTCAAAAAATTGAATTTCGGGTTCCGTTAAAAGGAATTGCATGCTTTAATAACTTATTTCTCTTCTTTCAGGTGGCTCTGGCAAGCTGTAAAACTTTCCCCGCCTCCTGTCTAATCCACGGGTCGGCACCAGCATGCCGGCCCTGCGCGTCGCCGTCATCGGCGCCGGTCCGTCCGGGCTGACCGCGGCCAAGACGTGCCTCGAGTCCGGCCTGGATCCCGTGGTCTTCGAGCAGTCGGACGACCTGGGCGGTCTTTGGTACTTCGACGAGAAGGTGTGCCGCGAGGGCCAGCCGTCCGTCATGAGGTCCACGGTAATCAACTCGAGCAAGGAGCTGACCGCCTTCAGCGACTTCCCGGCCCCGGCACACTTCCCAAACTACATGCACCACTCCATGCTGCTCCTTTACCTCAGGATGTACGCCGACCACTTCGGAGTCACCCAGAGGATCAGGACGAGGCACGCCGTGCGGGACGTGCGCCCCACGAAAGATCACGACCGCACCGGGAGGTACGCTCTGCAAATTGCCCTTATTGGCACTGAAAGTTGAAAGTCCCCCGAGGCACTTACGGAAGACGTTTTCAACTTCTTTAACTGAATCTATTGCTCTCTTGAGGTTCGAAGGAATTACAGAGGTCGTTGCGTTAGATGGTATCTGCGGTGATTGATTTGTGTTGATTTATTTTTAAAAGTATACAAGCTTGATCATGGTGATAAAAAGTGGCCGCGCCGCGATGACATTGGCTGTGCCGCCGCTACGGAGTCTGTCCGAGCGGGCTGGCCCCGCCCCAGCCGATTCCTTTTACCTGCGCATTGGCGGCGCGGGCACGCAGCGCCATCGGGTGGCGCTCTTTGAAACTGACGCGAGGCGGCCCATCCCTCAGATTTCGGCTTCATTTCCCTGCCAATTTGTGTGACTTTTTGCGCGGCTTCAAAGCTGGGAGGCTTCAGACCAAGGGTTCATTTCGCTGCCGTTTTTCGTGGCGTTTTGCGCGGCTTCAAAGCTGGGAGCTTCAAATTGAGGCTTCCCTTCGCTTCATTGGGAAAGGAAAATTTAGCTGCCGTTTGGCGCGGCTTTTGACGCGTCTTCAAAGTTGATGACGTTGGGTCGCTGCATAGGACACATAATGCCTTCGCATTAAAACAGCTAAGCACAGAATGTGTGATAGGCCTTCTATGGAAGAAAGAAGAGCACCAAAACGGCAGCGCCAAACGGAGATTCGCTCTCATTTCTGACACTCGTGAAATGGGGTGTGTCAAATACGCCCTAGGGGCGTAACACCTTCCGGTGACGGGCTTTTGTTACAACCGGCTGTTACAGCTGGCCGTTCCAGTCGGCTTTTACAGCCAAACGCTACAACTGGCTCTTACAGCCAATAGTTAGGAGTCTCAATAGAAATATACTGATAAGAAACATTGTACGTTAAAACTGTTTGACGTTGGTACGGGTTATTTTCTCTACTCATTTAACGTGTCTACAAATCACGTCTGATAAATAAAGCGCGTCCCCTAAAAATCTACATGGTTGTTTTCACCAAAAAACAATAAACTATGCACCGCCGAACGCTCAGTCTCAGCCCAAAATGTCCGTAAAAACCAGATGCCAAAGTTGAAAAACTAACCATCTTTTTTTTCTTCAAAACGTATGGGCGATTTTACAAATTTTTCGATAAGAGAATGGTCGCCCATACAACCCTCCATGCCTCATCGCCTGCAGGTGGCTGGTGACGGTTGAAGACCTGTCCTCGAGCCAAACGAGCCGGTCCGCGTTCGACGCCGTCATGGTGTGCGTGGGCCACCACGCCTACCCGCACCGGCCTCCGCTGCCCGGGTTGGAACACTTCCGAGGCAGGGTGCAGCACACGCACGCCGTCAAGGACTGCGACCGCTTCAAGGGACGCCGCCTCCTGGTGGTCGGCACAGGAAACTCAGGCATGGACGTGGCCACCGAAGCCAGCCTCTTCGCGCACAAGGTGACCGCCTCCAATTACGAGTACCTTTTCGCAACTCCAACGCCCTAGACGTGGCACGGCAGTAGCCGCAAGATGCCGGAGGAGATGGGTATAGGGCCTCGAAGATTTCCAGTGCACCTGCTCGCTGACGCTGGTCACTGCGCTAAAATTAATTTATTTGGATACAAATACGAAGCGGTCAGGACAGGAGCATATCAGATGTAACGGAGATGTTGACGTGCGTTGAGAAAAAAAATATGTTGATCTTAAAAGCCGCAGAGCAGGACAAAACCGTTCCTATTTTAGAGCACTCGCATTTTTTGTTAAACTTTCACAATACACGAACACGCCGACCAGGAGATGCGGTAACAGTAGCAGCAAGGTCGACAATCCCTGCCACCGTCTCCACCGCCGTCCCCTCCCCTCTGGTTCTTCGTTCGTCCACGAGTGGGCGAGCGACGGGCTGCTCCTCCGAACACATCGTTTCACCTTATGTCTGAACGCAGCCGACGCTACGAGCAGATGGTAGTAGTTATTCAGCGTCAGAAACGCACTAACATGGCGTTCCCTATGTTTCTGTGCGTGTTCTGTAATCGCCTAACCAATCATGGACAGGAAAGGCCCAGTGACTTGCGTTTTTGACTCTGGTTAATTGATGAAACTATTGTCTAGAGTTACGGCACTCCAATTACTTTCTCTGGGTACCCGAATTTTGGTGCTGAATGCGGAGCGGGAGGGAATTGCGATCGTTACGATTGAAAAATGCGACTTCCCGAGTATTAGATACGCTGCCAGGAAGATCGGTCCGTATCGTTTTGTTTTAAACCATTTTAACATCTCTAAAGGGAGGAAAACCGTCAAGTGCCATTTCGGGTAAAACTTCAGATAACCGACAATACTGATTTTAAGCACCGACACGTCTGAACTTTCATTACCCTGAGGCGTAGCTTCAGTATTTGGTCAATCTACGAGTACCCCTGGACCAATATTTGCCTCCTGCGGGACGCCATATTTGTCTACTGGGCTATTGATTGCGTTTTAAGCGTGCAAATTAGCTATCTACAGCGAAATATCAGACACCACACCTGGCCCCACAGCCTCGGCATGTTTTCCCCGACTGATAAGTGCTGGAAAAACGTATCTCCGCCAAATCTTGTTTCTAATGTCGAGCCAAGGCGGCGTCGCTTCTCGTCCATTGAAATTGACCAATCAGAAAACGTGCTCTCGCTTTTATGCGGTGCGCAAAGCACCTATGTAATGACCAACACGCTGTTTACAAACAAGCCCGTCTTTGCACACACCAAGTGTGGGCACTGCGCATGCGCAGAAACCGGATTTGGGAGGAGTGACGCATGTGCGCATGCGCTGTGCCGCCGACAGCGCCACTGCAGCTGCATGACGTCAGGGCCGCGTGTTGGTCTATACAATTATATTATACGGGCTGTCTGAATTTTGATTGTAACTTGTGTATTAATCAAAATTCGTAAAAGTTATATTACTACGGCCTGTGTACGTGAGTTTTACGTTCAGAGAGACATACTATAGCGGAAACTTCCTCACGTTTAGTTGGTGAATTGATTAAAATTGGCGAATTGACTTTTGATGACTGAAACTAAACACACTGAGAAACATATAGAGTGCCATCTAAAACCACTAAATCAGTAAACTTTAGCGCGGGAATGCGCTAAAGCTACCGCTCGCGCAACAGGCACAACGCTGACGGTGCAGAAACGGGCATAAAAAACGATATCCTCGTTTTCGGCCTGCCACTTTCTAAAAAAAAAAAAAAAATTCTGGTCTTAAAGGAACTCTTTGAGGTTATTCAGCGCTCGTCCTGTTTGCCTCTCCGTCATCGTATTCGTCTTTATTGTGCGCTTTCACTACTTTCAACATTATTCAGCTTGTCCATATTTTTCACCCTAAAACGTTCTTTCAAGCGCCCAGTTGCATTTCTAGTGCGCCTGGGGGAGATAACGGTTGAAGCGAAACTGTTCTTCACAAGTTGAAAGAGTTCTCAGGACATTGAAAAACCTTTCGAGAACAGAGTTTTGTGTGAGATGTTGAACCTGTGGCACGAGTGGAAACTTCAGCGCGCTCCGGCGCTTCTCACGTGCCTCAAACATTTCTAAAAATTACTGATTTCGTTGACTAGACGATCCTAGGCAAGTTTCTAACTATAACGATATATGTCAATTTAAGAAACTAATTTCAGTTGATTATTTGACCTATCGGGACGATACACCTTATTTAATATGTCCTCCTGGCCGCATTATTCACTTGCATAAAACACATGAGCTTTTCTTTTAATATTAACCTGTTGGAATTAAAAAGTAAAATAAAAAACAAATTAAAATTAAAATGTTGGAATTAAAATTGAACACCCCTCTACGGGGTGTTCAATTTTTATTACAACCATATTACCCGTCCCGAAAGGATCGTGAACAGGCTCCTACCACGACGGAGAGGTGGTGCTGAGAGGATACGTACCCGATCAAGAAAGTGACGACGCGCGCAAAAAGCCACAATAAAAATGATAATTCGTCTTTTATGATATATGCGATGGGGCCTTTTACTACCCGGTTACTATTCTGCACCAATAAATTACGTGGTCGACTAAACAAAAACAAAAGCGAAAGAAATATAATAGTTTGTTCAAGAACAAACTTGGTTCAGTTTAAATCCACAAGAAGAAGGAAATAAAAGGTCACCGGAAATCCACATGCCAGTCAGCTGTGATGAACGATAAAAAAATCACTGGTGCAGCGTCTACTCCACATACAAGCAACGAAGGGATAGCAATAGTAGTGTAGCCGGTAACAAATATAAAGACTCCGGTAGCGCGACGCCGAAACACCTAATCAGCAATGTTATACTGCAATTGCTGTGCTTTCCGCGCTAGTCTGTATTTTGGCAGATCCAAATTAATCTAAAATACACTATTTTTATCTTATGCTAATTTTGATTGCTTTTCTTTTGGCAGCACCCCAGAAACAAATCTGCTCTGTGACGCGCATGCGTGAAGAGTGGTATGCGGATAAATTGAAAAGACAGAACAAAACTCCGAAAGTCCCCTAAAGGGAACCGAACCAAGGACCCGGAGATCGTAAGCGCGAGGCTCAGCCAGCGCGCTAAAGGAGAGACGTATGGAGCGGTAGTTATTAAAATGAATAACATTGAGTACGCCATCCGACGCCCGCCAGCGAATGGCTCCGACGTTTGCGGCCGCCGCATGAGCGCTCGTACAACCAATGCTTAATCTAAAGTGGGAGCTTACGCACTTTCCAAAACGGTCAGAGTGCAGAGTATTTCTGGTGAGAAAGGGAACAACTGGGGCCTCAGTTTTGGTAGTTACAAATCTCGATTAACAGTGTTTAGTGACGAAAGGAGGGAACCATTGAAGATACAAGATATTGTAATAGATATACCACCTAAAGAATACTAATAACTAAAGCTATCGCTCAATGAGTGAAGGAAACATCTGGAGACAGGCGAAGAAACGATAATTTTATAAGGAAAATAAATTCAGCTTGTATGAATCTCGAGGCACGGTGGAATTGTATTATCTCTGAAGTGGTCAAGGGTATTCGGCAAGGAGGAGGGATGGTGCCTAGACCATATTTTGGAAATGCAGTACTGTGCATGCGGACAGACGTTCACTTCGGATTTCAAATTCAACACAGGCGAGTTGGCACAGAGCGCTACACTGTTAGCAAAAACAAGCGATCGCCGGTTTTTCCAGTCTTTCTCTTTGAAACTAAAGGATGTTATCCAAGCTAATATTGCTATGGAAAGACCCCATTTAGGCTCTCTAATGTAAGCGATAACATTTCGTGCACGCTAATGCTCTTGAAGAGTAAAATACGAAAATGCGCCCATGTCGTGTTCCCGCTAACAGTGTCGCGATGTGTACATTGGTATTTCTACGTCAACACGGGAAATGAGGAGGTACAGGGGGCGATCGGTTGGCCGTCTTTTGAGATCAGAGGTGCAATTAGTCAATTAAACTTTGACCGAAGCTCAACTACGAGCGATTACACATAAAAGCTTCTAAACACAAAATGAAGAAACCGAACCCGGAAGCTGACATTTAAATATATTCGCAGCAGTTGTGTGACTGAGCAGATTATTTGAATAGAAAGAGAGTAAAGACATCAGAAAAAATAATGCGGAAAAGAAGAATTCAAGAAATATATGCCTCAGGAATAGTCACAAAAGGGGACATAAAACGAAAACAAGAGTTATGTAATTTACACGTTGAGGTGAGAGCAAAAATGTTAAAGGCAAAGACCTATAGAAATACGTTTCGAGACACAGACACATATGTGCCTATGAGATTGTGATAGCGAGACGCTAGAACGAGTTGTTTTGAAGTGCACCGGACTTCGTATTTCTCCCTGAAGTGGTAACAAAAGAGATCAGAGCGCCGGGTTTTGCTGTCGCGGATGGGACGATAAAGAAACAAATAATTATAATTAAGCACATAGGTTAGAAAATTGGTGTAGAAGGTGTAGAGAAGGTTGACAGCGCAAAGAATTGTGAGGGTAAATGATTAAAAGTGATACGTAATTTATAAAAAAAAAATGTATAGGGGAGGGGGATGAACGTTTCTAGGCTAGACGGCACAGGATACTTTTCACATACGAAGTGTACACTCAAAGCAGTTCATTCATTCATAATAAATCCTACGATAGAAGACACGCGCTTGCTGGAAGTATTTTAGTCACATTCACATTGCCTCGCAATATGCCTTCATAACAAAAAAAAAAAACAAAAAAAAAACAACCTTCGAAGTGTTTTTTTTGCATTTAGACGTTTTTTTCAGAGTTGTCATAGCCAGAAGTTTGACAGCCACTTCTAGTTCACTTAATGTGTTTCCCCGTGGAGTATTCATCTTTAACTTTTACGCTGTGTGCGAATTCCCGCCAAAGCGGGGTGGGTGCCGAGTGAAAAGAAGAGTAACTTCAAAGATAAAGAAACGATGAGATGATGAGTGTCTTGCGGTTGGAACAGCCTGATATCCT